CCAGCCTGGTCCTTCCCCTGCCCCAAATCCCATCCATGGCAGCACGTGCCAGCAAGGAGGCTCCTCCAGTCTCCAGCAGTCACACAGCATCCCAATGTCTCCAGAAGCATCAGTCTGGGACCTCCAACACCTCTGTGTCCCTTTGCCAAGGCACAGCGTTTGCTCTCAGAAGGGATTTTCTCCTTGCCAGAGTCAGCATAGGGCCAGCTCCTCGCTCACACGTTGCCATTGCCGAGGCGCCCGCAGCAAGGTGTGCACACTCACAGCAGGTGCTCAAAGCCAATGTGTACCTTGAGGCAGAAATGAGGACTTTGGGACCACTGGAGAACACCTCCAGCTGCAAATGCTGGGACAAAGCTTGCACTCCAGCCGGGTTTCCCTGTTCGCCAGGGCTGGCCCGTACTCTCCCTGGGCCTGCAGTCCATCCACGTGCTGCAAACCCCATCACGCCGAGCCCGGCCCCACCACAGGGCATCTTGCCCCCTGCCCCAGCCCTCCTCCTCCCAACTGGCCGTCGGGGAGAAGATATCGCCACGGGGGGATTCAGTACCCAGCACCAGCTGCCCAGCACATTGTCAGCTGGTAAACAGCCACTGGCAGAGCTGCTCTCCGCTCTGGGAACGGGCAGAGACGCTGCTGAATCATCGGGCTGGTATTTACATCCTGACAGCTGCTCCGGGGCCAGGGCTGTGCTGCTGCACCCAAACCCCTGACCCCACCAGACAGCTTCACTTGGGCAGCGGGCGGTGGGGCAGCGCCGGATCCAGCCCACGGTGGCCCCATCCCTCCTCCCGCTCCCCTGAGCCCGCCACAGACGTTGGGGTCCCACAAGACATGCAAATGCACCACCTTGGACAAGCCCTTTGGCTTCATTCAGACCTGGCACTGGGAAGCCCGGTGACCCAAAAACTAGGGGGACCTTGGCACCTGCCTGCAGGTTTGGGCCAGCTGAGCATGGGCAGCCGCTGGGAACGGCGAGGCTTTCGCCGCCAAAATAATCCTGCTGCTGTAAGGGCTTGGGCTGCGTCGGGCCCCTGACCTCCCTCCGGGGCCACTCGGGGTCTTTGCACAGGGACAACAAGGACAGGAAAGAGCGATGCTGAAGGGCTCAGAGGGCAGCTCAGGGGGGTCAGGAACCAGCAGCTCCATCTCCCTGCTGCGGAGGGGGTCTGCAAGAGAGGAACCAGTCACGGTGGAAAGGGTGAAGCTTTTTCATTCACGGCTTTTCCCACACTGTACCCCATGAAGCAGAGGCGCAGCTCACCGAGGTGGGACCCGAGGGCACCGCGCAGAGCAAACCCCGGCCTTTCCATCCCACAAACTCATTTTAGGGAGCACAGCCATCCCCCCACAGCGCTTGGCTGACCCAGCTGCGCGACGGGGCTCAGCTCAGGAGCCCTCCAAGTTCCAGGGGCTTCGCTTCGCACCAGGCGCCGGCTGGCGACGGAGTGTGCCGGAGAGCCATGGCCGGCGCAGGAGGAGAGGGCGACGCTTGGAATACCTCCCCCCACCCAAAAACAAATCGAGAAACACCCCGGCAGCCTGTGACCCCCCCCAACCCCTTCCTCCAGCCCGGCACAGAGACGGCAGCGCTTGCACCATCGCTGCGACGGCCCCAGTGCGGGCACCGGGCCCATCTGATAAAAACAGCTCTGCGCCGCAAGGGAGGGGGGAATCAGCTCTGACGAAGAAAGGCCACTCATCCCATCCTCCTCAGGCTGCTGCTGTGGGATGCCGTGGGGCTTGCCTCCGGCTGGGGGGCTGCCGGACTGGCCCCCCTCCTAGCCCAGTTCACGTTTTTCCTACATAAACAAAAGAAGAAAAAAAAATATTAAGGGGGGAAAAAAAAACCTCCCCGGGATGTGTGGCACAGGGAGGGTGAGTGAGGGCAGGGAGGCAGCAGGATTTGGGGAGAGGCAACAAGGGTTTCTTCACCAGAGCGGGACCATGGCCCGGATCCCCGCCAAGCTCCACCGGGGGTGAGCCCGGCCGGGGTACACGGAGGAGAGGATACTTGGCTGTGGGAGCTGGGGCTGCGAGGGGCAGGAGGGGAGCACATACCCGAGGAGCATGCAGGGAGCCCAAAGCCCCCATCGCCCGGCAGCACAGCCTCATGCAGATTTTGCTTCTGGAGGCTTGCTCAGGTTTCCTGCCCCAGGAAGTTTTTGATGACTATGCGTAACGCAGAAGCTTAACTGCACCTCAGCTTTCCTTAGCCTCGAGTTAGGCAGGCAGGAGGTCTGAGAGCAGGCTGCCAGCAAGCACCAAGACACACAATTCCCTCCTCCTCCTCCTCTTCCATCTTCAGCCAACACCCATCCACTGGACTGTACAAACACAGGACGATTTGCTGCAGCAAAATTGCATGGGTGTTCTCAGAGGGGCAGTTTGCATCACTGGAGCCAAAGAGTCCCTCGGGAACACCGAGGTGATGCCACAAGTACCCACCAGTCCCAGGAACCCCCCGCTGTGCCCGGGGGACCCTCTTGCTCAGCCACCATACGGTGCTCTGCAGCGCCTGTCCCCAGGCCACACACCCCGCGCCCGCCAGGATGTCCGCCGGGTCCTTGCCCTCGGAGCCAATTTCAGCAGCCGAAAACATGCCGTGTAAGCAGCAGCACTGCGCTGCCACGGGCTCCAGCAAAAATAGACTTCAAGTATTATTGGCATCAACACTTAAAGCACATTGTAAAGAAAAGCAGCGAGCACTGGGTTGACACTAATTTGCTTTCAACCGTGCTGCACTGTTTGTGACTCAGTTTTGAAATGACGTATTTGCGACTCCCGTAAAACACTCACCCCTTAAAGCTGGAAACGGGTGGGTTTTGGTGCTCCTTTGGTACAGATGCATACCTGCCCGAGTCCTCACATCTGCAGCATTTTACACCCACAGCGTGCATTCAGAGAAGAGCTCTGTTTGGGCTGTGTTGGCGTTCTACAAAGGGATACACGTGAGGATCAAGCACCTTTCTAAAGCTCCAAAGCTGGAGCTTTGGGAGCCCTCTGCCTGCCCATGTTTTCTCCCCTGAAGAAACACCAGCCAAGATGTCTCCGAGGAGCTCACCTGCCCAGTGTCCTGCCCTGCGCCATTCCTCCTCCCCACACCACCTGCCCCTGGTCCAGGTCGAAAAGCCTGAAGCACCGAGAGCCACACCAATAGCCCTGCTCCTCCTCAGGTACATGTGAGCTTAAGAGACACGGTTTGTGCCCTGTTTGTTTCTTTACCGTCTTTAAAAGCCTGAAAAACCTCCATGAGTCATAGAACAAGCACATCACTGCTTCTTCCTGACTTTTTAAGATTAGAAACATCAGCTTGGCTTACTGGTACTCACCTCTGTCCAGAGAAGCAGCGGGGTGTTTCCCTGCCCTTAGTGGGATGGCAGGAAAGTAAACATGGAAATTTTTGGTTTATGCCAACAGAAATGTTGGCAAAGGGTCTCCCACTGGCACGGGGCCATCCTCAGGATTTACAGCAGTAAAACCCCACACCATCAGGACTGATGTGCTTTTTTAGCTTCCTCTGTGGTGCGAGGAACAAAGCCAGGTGCCAGTGCGTACAGAATTCCTAGGGGTGGCACTGGGGATCTTTATTTTTCTTCTCAAAAGATACGCATGGTTGGTGAACACAGCTGCAAGCAACCAGTCCCAAGGCGGCTGTGGTGCACAGTGAGCCAGCCCAGCTCTGGGGCACGCACAGCCCCTCTCTTACCATTCATGCTCCAGGCATCTGGGAATGAGGTCTTCTGAATCCAAATCAAAGCCCTTCATTCTTAAGAGTGCCCTAGGACACGAACTGAAGAGCCGTCTTCATCAGCTGTTCTGATGGAAGAGAAAGGCTGCGACGGGCAAAGGAGTGAGATTCTCCTAAACCTTGTAAGGTAAAAGTGCTCTCCTCAAATGTGTGGGTAAAATACTGAAATAGGCACCACTTGTCTTGCTCTGTCATCTGTATCCAGCACAGCGCTACATACCTCCACTTAAAAAAACAAAACCAAACCACAAACTAAAGGCAAATCTTTTGCTTAATTCACAAAATGATACACATACACAAGGGCAAGTTATCAGAAAAGGCATTATATTTTGGTTTCCACCTTATTTAAAACTGATTTTGGTTTTCAATCAATCAAATCGGAATATGTCTGAGTTCAGTTTTCAATTTTTTTTTTCCCCATAACAGTAATGATCTGGACGACCATAATTATAAAAGGGACGGGGAGAAACCCCGAGAACAAGAGAACAAGATATATATTCTGAACTGTGCTCTCTTCCACATGAGCACTCCAGGGAATGTTAGTTTCAGCTCTTCCTCGTGTTTTTTTTTTTTTCCTTCAGGTTGTTACTAACAAAATCTCTACCGTTTATTAAAGCAAAGCTACAGTAAATTTTCTTGCAGTCTTACAGCAGGTTTTCATATTACCAGTAGGACTCGCATGCATGGATTGCAGTCACACACACACGCTCACAGACATTATACAGTAGCCAGTTGCCACCATTTCCCCCAAAAAAAAAAAAAAAAAAAGAAAGAAAAAAGAAAACAGACATTCGTTTCTTTTAAGTGGTCAACATTAGAATCGCACCAAACTTTCTGGATAAAAAAAAAAAAAAAAATACTGCACAGGTCTTCCACATCTACATGGTAAGTCATCCCTTCGCAATGGACGGAGCTCTCGTCTCCATTTGTTCAACATGCATCGCTGAAGCTTGAAGGCACACTGGCCAAAGAGAGCCCTGTTCTTTTTTTGTCATCTTAACTCAAGTGTGCTGCTCTCGGGGTGCAAAAAAAGGAAAAAAATAAAGCCAAGCCCTTTTGCAGCACACCGGGAAAAGGTCATTCGGAGACCACAGTACTTGGAAGGCAGCCCAGCTGCCTGGATTCTACTTCTAACTGTGCTCTTGGAGGCATTGAAGGAATACACTTGTCTTTAAAAATGACATATAAAGGCAAATTTCTGCAAACCCTTTCTTTTCAAACTGCTTACGGTAGACTAACACCCCTTCTGGAAGAAACCGGTCCTTCAGTCACCAGCTTCAAGTGGGAAATTTCCTACCTGCTGTCTTAAACACTGAAGCACCAGAGATGACAGGGCTGATGTGTTCAGGCATTCATCAGCTTTGGGAAAACTTAACACCAAAAAAAAAAGAAAAAGAAAAGAAAATAGAAGAAATCCCCAATGCCTCAAGAGCACTTTATCAAACCAGAACTCTTGGGCTACTGACTGCCGGCACTGTCAGAAGCTGCTTGCTTCTGGGAAGACACCTGGAGGTTGAAGCCTTACGGTGATTTTGTATCCTCCCAGGGTGAGATTTGCTGAGCTTTACTGATTGCGAGATAAAGCAGTGTTTTGGAAAACTAAAACCAACGAACTCATAATAACCATCACCAAAATCACCATTGGGAAAGTTCCATTTGTTAGAAGGTCTCATTGAGAAACATCAGTCCCTGCCCCGCGGAGCAGGACAGACACGATTAACAAAACCCAGAGTGACCCGTCCCCCGCAAGCCGGGCCTTCAGGGACTAGTCCCCGAATTATATTGGAGGGGGAGAAAGAAAAATAAACTAAAAAAAAAAAGGTTGTATCACCTTTTCCTCCTGTTAAAGTTTTAATCCTCTTATTCCACTTTTATTTCTTTGTTTTTTCCCCGATTCTCCCTTCCACTCTGCCACCTTAGCTGGGGGAGTTATTGGTACGAGAGTTTGGAGAGTCCTGCTCATTTATTGTGTTCAAGAGTACACACACCGGCTGCCGGGGCAGGTGGTGGTGGTTGTGTTCGCGGTGCTGCTCTTCCACGGCATTAAAAAGCCCTTCCTCCTCGTCCCCGTGGGGGCGGCCACTGCAGCTGTCGCAGAAGTCCAGGGGCCCGTCCAGAGCATCATCGATGAGCCCGTCGAACTCCTTGAGGTCGTTATCGTGATGGCCCCGGTTGCATACACAGACCTCGATGCCCGAGTCACCGGTAAAACGGCGCTGCCTGCCCGGTGTCTTGTCCTTCGCGTCGGGAATGGCGCTGCTGTGCTCTAAGCTCTCAGAGCTGTAACCTTTTAGCAGTTCCTCCTTGCACTCCGTATCCTTATCGGGACTGGCCCTCTCCACCAGCTCAGCTCCCGTGCTGGTACCACTGGGCTCGACGCTTTGCATTTTGGCAACTGCTCGCTCAACCAGCGTGGGGGTGGAGGGCTCGGGCTCCCCCAGGCCAGGGCACCCAGTGTTGTCAGTACTGCTGTTATTGCCGCTGGGTGCTGCTGAGCTGCTCTGTGCTGGCTGCAGGTTTCTTGGCGTGTCTGGGATTGTGCTACTGCTGCCTGCTGGGACGCACTGCTGATGTAAGGCACTATATGGTGGCGGGGGGGTCGGCGGTCGGTTCACCACTTCCTCATAGGGAGGTAGTAAATAATTTGGCAAAAACCCTAAAAGTGGGAGGGAAGGAAGAGAAGTTATTTCATGAACAGCTTATCTCAGGAAACGAGTCACTGATACAGATCCCTATGTCATTTGTCATCTACCAGCATTCCCACTAAGCAGCTCAATGGGCTTTACAAGGGGGTGCCAAAACTTGGCCCAAACGAGACATGTCATGTTTTAGAGAAACAGCAATGGCGGCACAGGAAGGCACCATTACAGGAGGAGACAGACATAGCTGGGAACAGCAGCCTGATCTGCCTGCTCTCAAGTCTATGCAAAGGGATACCAGGTGAACCTTTCCCTCCCTCAGTACAGCCCCATAAACCACACCAAGGGACAGCCTGCGTTGGCTGGAGGGAACACCCTGGGAGAAAACTCGCCAGCCCTCTCCAACACTGGCTTCTCAGCCGAGTTTCCGCTTGCAAGAGCAAAGATTTCATCTCACAAAGCTTTGTGTAAATATGAAAAGATATGAGCAGTTACAAGGCACTTAGGAGCCTGGCTTTTGGTTGTTGTTTTAGTGCTGGATTCGTTTTTTCTGGTGCAGTCAGAATAAACGGGCAGTACTGGCGAGACCGGTTTATTGTACTTACAGCCCCTCAAATCTACAAAAGATTTTATTTCTTAGGAGGCAACAAAACAGTCTATATAGACAGAATGGACTTAAATACTGGAAACATTTAAAGATAGCACTGGAGTTTTCCATGTGCAATTGTGTATCCCTGGGGCTGGGGAAGAAAGCGCTGCTGGGGATTATTTCTGAGGTGGCTGCAAGAGTTTAATGAGAAAAGCAAGTTCATACACGCAATTCAACAGTCCATTACAGGAAACTCAGTTGTGGTACCTCCAGTGAAAAGGCCGAGAATCGCTGTTCTCACACAGTGTAGCAGGGTACGAAGGAGAGAACAAAGCGATTGTACTTTGGCAGAGCCGTAGGCAACAGCTCCTTCATGCAAACTCCTTGGGCAGCTCACCAGCAGATTCATCTGGAAACTGCAGCACAGGGCGGGAGCCAACATGGTCCCTGCTGAGGCACCACTTCCACCCAGCCTGTGTGACCGAATTTCATGAAGCCACTTCCCACATCTCAGTCCCACCAGCAGCAAGTGCAGGCTAGAAATGAGGAGCATCCATAAAGTCCTGAAGGAGATATTTTATGAACCTCCCCAGAACAACAGCCAGGGAATCACTGCACTCACAGAGACAAATCAAGGGTGGTCGTGAAGGTGGTGTGGTTCAACTCCAGAGTGAAGGGGGCTCAAATGCAACCAGCAGCCGGAATACATCACCTCCTCTCTGCAAGCCAAGGTTAGGCAGCAAAGCTGTCCCCCACCTCTTGCTGAGCACAACCACTGCTCCCCGTTTCCACCCAACACGGAAAACTCATTACTGCCCTCCTCCCCGCGACCTCCAGGAGAAACAGTGTGAGGTACATACGGAAATAAAACGGCAGGGCTGAATAGTTATGGGCTTCCCGGTAAGCGATCAGGTTGATCTCGTGTTGCCGCTGCTGGGCCTGGAGACGATGCTTGGTGCGTCGGTGATGGCAAACACAACAGCAGCTGAGGATGATGATGATGGTCCACACCAGCCAAAACCCTGCAGCAGGGGAGAGCAAATGTTAGCCACAGCGTGACAGCCACATCCAAACCCAGGAAACCCCACAAAGGCAATGGAGAAGATCATCAGAAAGCCTGGATCTGAACCCCACACTGCTCTAAAGGCAGAAAGACGCATTGTGCCAGAAGGCTTCAACAGAGACGTGCCTGCATGGGTGACTGCTACTCTGGCAGCCTGGACAGAATCGGGTAACTGTACACACTTTGGTACAATGTGGAGTATGTTCAATAGGTACAACTCCGGAGGAGAACGAGATGTGGAGACAGGGCTAAGCTCACCCCACCACTGCTCCTACCCTTTGGATTTCCTCTAGCCAAAAATATGAGCAGAGCTGTGAATAGCATTGAACTTGTCTCCCACAGCCACTTTGGTTTGAAAATAACAATCAAGACACAAAAGACACTCTGCAGATTGACCACAGAAGAAGAGAAAAACCCCAAGCACTATGTTGTGCTTTTGTTTGCACTGCTCTTTAATTTCCAGCCCAAATCCTTCATTGTTATGCTTAACAAAAACATACTCTTTCTACATAAATGTCTCAAAATATTTTTAAAACTTATTTTTGTATTCAATGTCTTAAATTATCCAAAATTAAATTAAACTATCCCCCCCACTCTGAATCCTCAAGAAACCTAACTTCTGCTCCATTTGTGGTCACAGCTGGTTTCTGTGCACTGTTGTACCCTACGTATACTGTTCCTTAAAAGGCAATTTTAAAAGAGCACTTCCTGAATTTTCTCCACTCCCTCCAACATGTGGAATAACCCCTCCTTTCCGTAAATCCCCCTTCACGCTTGCATGCACTAGAAAAATGTTTCTGAGAGACACTTCAAAGAGCGACAACATTCACTCCAGATGAGGCTTTTGTCTCCTGCAACTACAGCCCACAAGCTCTACCTGCCTCAGAGGTGTCTTTATTTTTTTTATTTTTTTTCCCCTTTCCTTTCTTTCTTTCTCTGAGCTCAGCTTCTGCAGCTAAGGATACCAGGAGAGCTCTCCCTTTAGAAACATGCAGGCCTGGCAACCACTCCTCAGCTGAGATCCCAACACCATTTTCCTTTTGCTAAGACTTCTGCCACTCTTCATTATTCCCCAACAGACAAAAGGAAGACTCCTAGCGCTACAGCCCATTTTCAGCATGGCCATTCTGCCCTGTGAGACCAAACTGCTTGTTTTTCCCTAGTAAAAACCTCTAGTCCCGCCTTTACAATACCTTGATGTTTTCAGCATCCCCTGCTGAGTTAGCGTTGTTTTCCCTGCTAAGAGCTGGGTGGGGAAAGGTGAACAGTTTAGGAATTTGAAGAATGAGAGGAGTATTGCTCTGGCTCAGGACAAAGTGCAATCAACCCATATCACAGATCTCAGATCCACGCACTGGGGCTGTTTGTAGGTGAACTGGATATGCCGTATCATGCCTCCGAGCATTGTGAGCAGGGACTTTCACCTCCCTGTGTTGTAACCCAAATTCTCCATGTATTTTGGCACGACAAACTGAAATCTCTCTCTTGCCTTGCGCAACCAATTTCCCTAATGGACTGGATTCTGCCTTATACCCAAACTTATCAAAACCTGCTATCAAATGGAGGTGTTGTATGTTCCATTTTTTTTTGCTTGGCTGGAAATCAAGGTTCCTCGGCAGCTTTTCTAGCCAGCCTGCTCAGCTGTACCACGAGGGGCAGAGAGAAGAATGTGCTCTTCGCTCCAGACAAGCAAAGGATGAAGCACTCAAGATGCCCTCTGCAATTCCTTCAAACCGAGCTAAGAAAGTGTCCACTGCCCTCCAAACACCCTCCTGCTTCTAAAAAAGGCCTTTTTATATAAACTATAAGGATTGGTCTAGTCCACCCTTCCCTCCAAAGCCAGGCATTTGCAACCATTGTCTCGCAGTCTGAAGACTCTCACCAATACACTGTTTCTTGCTAAGAGAAGGTCCTTTGGCTCCTGCTTGCTGAGGAAGCAAGAACTCACTCATCAAAACCAGGTCATTGGCACAGCAAGCGACCACGCACTGAAGCAGGCCTGCAGTTCATCTTCCAAGTACTCCTTATTTTTGAAGAGCAGTCCGTGATCATACGTTCAAAAACAATGGAAAATTACACCCAGCTATCCAGGGATTTTAGTTACAGTTATGAAAACAGATGCTTTTTAACACATTTGATCATGTCCTTTCCCAAGGACTCTAGATGCAATGGTAGCGAGCAGCACTTAGTTAGTTAAGATGTCCTGGAGAACTGCCACTGTTAAGCAATCTCAGCTGTAGCAGCCGAATTTTTCTGCAGGGAATAACTGCTCCCACCCAAGCCTGCATCCAGAAGATTAAAAAAGTATTTCTTTAGAAAACTTCTCTACCCATTCCAAAGAAATCCCAAAGTGCTTTGGAGACAAACCGATACACAAGCTGAGAGTAGGGGTCAAAGTAAGCTCAGCCATTCCTGGGAAGATGTGCGGCAAGTCTGTAAACAACAGGCAGTAACAACATAGAACAGTTTAGGATAATAAATTAATGCTAGACCCTACTGAAACCACAGGTGGCATTTTAAGTAAACAGACCATAATTTACTGGATTGCAATCTGGCCACTGTGCCAGCAACAACACCTCCATTCTTGTGCAAAGGGTCTATGCACGCTCGCAACCACAAGTGCATGAGATCTGTTGTTTTTCATGGGAATTTCCAGAAAAAGAACCCACTAATACCATGTTATTGCCTGGTTTCATTAACTGCCGACACTTACTAGAGCTTCTAGGAATTACTCAACCCCTGACTCAGCAGGAGCCCAAGGACCTGCCTGGATGATCACAGGAGGTCAGCAGTGTGTCCCCACCACAGCCATTTGCTGGCCTGGCTTCTGGCGTCCTCTCTAATGGCTTTGCCCCCACCTTGTCATGCGATAGCAAATCTGCACCGCAGGGCTGAAAGAACCCCCCGGTGCATAGGAAGCAATAGGATGGGACACCCATAGGTGCTGAGGCACACAAGGGGCTCCTCGGTTGTCCTTGAGCAGGGGTGCCAGCACTGAGCGATGGAGCGGGCGCAGTCTGGTTGCAAGCCCAGCACGGTGCTGGGAGTCCAGGGCCTCCATAAAAGGCCCTGTGACATGTCCTAGCCAGAAGTTTGGGCACAGCTGCAATTTTGGCTGCAGAACAGAAAAACTGTAAAAGCCTAGCAAATATATAGTAGGGTCATTTATCTGGAACAAAGCTATGTGTACAAGGCCAAGTGCAATTGTAAATATTATGTCTAAAAGTATGGAGCGAACAGTGAAGATGTCCAGGGCTGAGCTGCGCATTTGTACACCTGGTGATGCTTGGCATCAAACCAGCCGTGGGGAGGTAAGCTGAGCAGACCACTGGCTCATGCACCCGGCGGCTCATTTGGCAGGAGAGGAAGGAGGCGAATTTCAAATTCACCCAAAGAATACACTACACAAGCAGGAAATGCAGAGGCTGAGCACAGTAGCGGTACACATTAACACCTTGTTCTGTGGCAAAAGCAGCCACTGGCTCTGCCTGGTGCTGAAAATGGGCAAGATGTGCAAAGGCAACAGAAGTTTGGCATTAAAAGGCCCCTAAAAGCCAAGTACAACTGGGATTCTAGTTGCCTTCACTGTTCACAAAAACCCTCCCTGTACTCTTCAACATGTACCTCCTTCCCAAACGGACACGAGCTGGTTTCCAGCTGCACTGTGCTGAGCTATTGCTACAGTCACTGGAAAAGTCACTGGAGACACCGGGCATCTGAGCCAACTTTGCCATTAAATGTCTGATTTCAGAGAGACCATTGTTCATTGTCAACCTGACCACTGGGACGAAAAGCTCATGACAATCTGCGGGCAGTATGACAGGCAGGGAACAAACAGGATCGTTGGAAAAAACTGCTGAGGGACAGCATCAACAGAAGCGATGCACCAGTTCAGAGCTAAATATGCACTGGGGGACCGTCAGACTTGAAGTCAACTTCAGGCTTGCTCTTGGTTTATGGAAGAGTCAGAAGTTAAAACACTCTTCAGTCCAAAAAAGGCTGAGTCCTGAGAAACACTGCTATATTTTCTGTCAAATTCACTGGGGATGCCAATGGGTGGATAATGACGCAACCAAAGGGTGAATCAGTCGCAGCCAAGGGGCTGAGTTTTGCCAAGAGATTTCCATGTCAGAGCATCAAAACCTTTCATAAAAAGAAAAAAGAAGAACCAACCTCTTATCCAGCATCTGACAGGCTCAGAGCTGTAAGCTCTACATGAGCGCCAAGCTCAGAGAGTCAGAACAGGAGCTGCAGAAAGACCTGGGAACAGAATTAGCTCCCATGAAAGCCATCTCCTGCAAGGAGGGGAAGTACCCAAGAAAGAGAAGGCTGCTGCATTTACAGTACCTTGGGAAAGGGAGCCCCATCACATGGTCACACACCAAAGATGTTTTCTACCAGCTGTGAAAGAACATGCCAGGCTTAAAGCTTCAAGAAAAACCTCTCTGTGACACTGACCATAGTTTTGCCCAAACTAAAGAATAATTAAGAACAAAATAATTTAAGAATAAAAACGCCAGAGCATTCCCTCCTTATGAAAAAGGGGGGAAGCAATGTTCAGTCGGATGCTGTACTTTTCTGCCTGGGATGTTGGCATCAGCATTCCCGTTGAGGGAAGCTCCTTTTATCCTGTGCAAAATGGAAAACGTTTTCTGGAGCGTTCCAAGGGTAGAAACAGAGAAATCTGCCCTCAAGTTCACAGTAAACTTGGGCAAGTGCCATTGCTCTGTTGGCAGGAAGTCCCCTAAAAGCAAGCCAAAACATACTGCAAAGTGTTTTTGTGTCTGCTTGACAAGCATCTGGGTAATAGCTTTGGCTCCATGAGAGCTGGTTCTGAACAGAAGGAGAAGTGGGACAATTTCATTGACTAAAAAGTGATGTCCCAAATGGTGGCCTCACAGTCAGCCATGGCTGGAAAAAAATTGTCTTTCACAGGGCCAATGCTATCAGCAAAAATAG